GGGGCCCGCGAGCCCCGTGCTTGTGGCTGGGCGTAGGGGCCGCGGCTGTGGGTAAGAGCCGTGGAATCTGCTCGGCATCACATTTAGCTGCCTCGCTCTCCCCCAGGGAAGCTGGACCACATGGTGATGGATGGGCCCCCTGGAAGCAGAGAGCAGCCGGCCTGGCCTTCCTGGCTGTACGTGGGGCAAGTCCCCAGGGCAGCAGCCCGCCCGGGGTCCCCAGGTATTTAGCCCCAGTGGGGCCCATCGTTATTACTGGGATCACAGCAGCAACGGGCGCGTCCCATCCATGCCGGGCGACAGCCAGAGACAAGCCCAAAGAGCTCACAGGCTGAATAGAGGAAGGATGGGAGGGGAAACTGAGGCACGCAGCAGTGACGGGACTTGCCCCAGGTCCCTCAGCAGGCAACGGCGGAGCCAGGATTAGGGCCCAAATCTCTTCTTCCTCCTCCCTCCATTCCCCGTCCAGTGCCCGACCACTAGGCCTCACTGCTCTTGGCCACAGGCTTCCACAATGCAATTTCCAAGGGTGCCGGCCACATCCTGATGGGGTCTGTGCTTGGCCCTCCTGGGTCGTGTGTGTGTGTGTTGGGGGCGAGATGGGGACGCTTGGAAGGAGTCTTGGTTTAGTTGCTGGCCGTGGGGTGCTACCCGGGGTTGATGGGTCTCCCCCTCTCTGTGTCCATTGGCCCCAGGCTCCTGCCAATGGGAGCCATCTCCCCGATCCCCCCCCCCCGCCTTTTGAGAGCAGGGGTGCGGCTGGCGGCTGCTCCCAGCTTCGCTTCCCCGCTGTGCCGGGCCTGTGTCCGCGCTGGGGGGCGACGCCGTGACGGGCGGCACTTTACCATCTGAGCAGCGGGAGCGGCTCCCTTGGCGGGTAGCAGGAGTAGGCTGCTATCCAGGGGATCCCGCCTGCTGGGGTCACGTCCCTGGTGGGGTTTGTGGGATGAGCAAAGCAGCCCCTCCCCCCCAGGAATGGGGAAGGTGGGGGGGCAGGAGGGATTTCTTTGGCTCCTCCCGTGTCTCCCTCTGGCTCTCCCCATACCCCCCATGGCAAGGGGGCTGTGATGGGGGGGGCATGCCCTGGCAG